CTCTAACAGCAATTTCTTCAACTACAGTTTCCCATGAGACAATACCAACCTCCTCAACTACAGATTCAGGTGAGACAATATCAACTTCCTCAACCACAAACTCAGGTGAGACAATATAAATTTCATCTGTAGTTTCAGCTACATGGGTATGAACTTCATGTATCATTTCATCTAAGCCTATTGTAGAAAAAATATCAACTTCCTCACCAACAGTTCCAACTGTGAAAGCACCATCTGCTTCAATTGTTCCTTCAGCTGTGATGGTATCAACTACATTGATTTTGCTGACAGATGCAACTGCATCATTTAAAACATCTGATTTGACAATCTCTCTACTTGATAAAGTATACACATCTCTAATTACATCTTGATGTAACAATACTTCATCACCAAAAACTTTGGATGACTGAGTATCCTCCTCATGCACTAAATGTATATGTGTATCAAAATTCTCAACAATCATACTGTTAGATACTTCATCATGAGACTCATAGTCTGCTGTTACTTCTTCAGATTCAAGTGGTATGACATCACTATTATGTTCAATGACATTTCCAAAAGAAGTGATGGTTTCATTTAAAATAGAATTCCCCGGCTCTACTGAAGACTTACTAGAAATTAAATCCATTTCGTTATCTAAAGACTTGGACAGAAAGTTACTGTCTTTATCATCAGATGATGTGAGCAATAGTTGATCCTGAATTTTGGGCATTTCTATTGTATCACTTTTATCATCCTGATATTCAACATTATTCATTTCATTTTTCTTCTCTAAGGAATTAAAATTACTGACAAAACCTTGTGATTCACCAAAAATGTCACTTTGATCTGATAGAGATAGTTGCCTTAAAAAACTCTCTGGCTTTTCCTCATCTGCCACTTTATATAAAGAATTTGGCAAATCTACAGTAAGTACATCCTCTTCCCTATTTTGAATACCATTATTATTTGTTCCTTTAGCTTCAGGAACTTCATCATAACAATTTGGATCTAAACTGGTCTTACTTGGAACACTGTCCCTCTGTGCTAAAAGTTCAAGCTTTTCTTCAAAGTATTCAGGAGTTACATCCTCCTGACCAACATCAGTAAAGAGTTTCTCAATTAATTTGATAGCACCATGAACATTTCTCTTACGAGTGTTATGACCTATAATGCTGTTTGTTAGTAATTTAAGGAAGGAGTCATCAGTTCTAAAATGTGCACAAATAAGGTGATCTGTGTCATTTGACACTAAACCTGTTAGGTGTAATAAGTTAATACCAAATGCTTTTGCTTGAAACTCACCTGCGAGATGTGCTAAGTTCTCAGGGTCTAAACTAGGAGTTGGTTCTGCAAACAGTGGCCGTGCAGTACTGGGCCCTAATTCTTCCTGCTCGTCGTCTGAGGAGGCAGGAGGATCATCTACATCAGAAACACTGTTAACTTCTAAAAGGTCACTATAAACAACTGAAGGCTCAGTAAAATCACTTGGAGCAGATTTATCAACACCATTATCAATGAGAGACTTTACTTCAAAATTTGGCAATTCTCTAGAAACAACATTCAACTGCTCCATCTCACCAAGCTCTGAAGGACTATCTTCAACTCTTGAAGGACTATCTTCTACATCGGAGGACACCAACAGAGGGGATTCTACACTTTGTGCTTCAGTATCTACAGTTGGTTGATTGTTAAGGTCAGTGTTAGTTACACTCTCACCAGTAACACCAGCACTATTACTGCTACTGTCACTTGCAGAAACATTCACATTTTCTGTAATGGATGATGCTACATTTGAAGGAATGATTTTCTTTTCTAATTTACTTTGATCTTTTTTCACAGTTTTGTTCTTATGAGACCTTTTTTCCCTTCTTGAGGTCTCATTTGAAGATAAGCTATTAGAAGAAATACCATTATCTACACCTTCAGTAGGTATATCTTGACCTTCAGACTCCTTATCCTGTGTATCTTCACTGGTTGCTAAAGCATCTCTTGCTGGAGCAGTACTAAGGCTTTTGCTACTCTCTAACACATGCTCATCCTCCTTACTTTCTTTCTCCATATGCAAGCCATATGGTTCATGCTCTCTACTACTATCCCTCTTACTACCAGATTCAGAAACTGCTATTCCCCCACTATTCTCACTATCCACAGTATCATGCAATTCATTTGCTCTAACTGAAATAGAACTAGTTTCATCTACACTGTTTGGATGAAGCTGTGTGGCTTTTATGTCTAATTCTTCTTCAAAGCTCTTTTCTTTTAGTGTGTCACTACTTTCTATAACATTCCCAGTACTTCCTACACTTATATTAGGCCCATCACCAACAAGCAACATATCCATACCTGAACTCTGATCTGAATCCTCTTCAGCATTATCATATGCATCACTAGGGGTAAGGGTGTCATCTGTTGAAGTAAGGTCATCTGTGAATGCCTGAGGGTTAGGCACAACTGTGGCATCAGGACTGGACTCTACCGTGGGAGGGCCATCTGAAGGCTTCACTTATCTTCTACATCG